CCTGGAATCAGGGGCCCCGTGTTCCCTGGTCCTCCGATTCGTCAAGGAAGTTCGAAATCAAGGAGTCAAAAATGGCCACTGACTCAGGGCTGTGAGGCCCCGCGTGCAGCAAGGCTTCCGCTTCCGGGGCTCCTTCCGGCCTGCAGTGACGTCACGAGCACCCGCCCTCGCCTGAGAGGACGCCGACCGCGGACACAGCCCTGGTTCCGGGTCCCGTGGTTCTGGGCCGCTCCCTCTCTTCTCTCTCCTGTCCTTAGTCTTCAGAGCTTTTCCACCCCAGCACTTGGCTCTTGACGCCACACTCCCTCCACCGTCTACATGGACTCTTAGTTTCTCGAAGGAAGGCTGATGCTTTATTTGTTTTGTTGTTGTTGTATTCTTTATCGCTGCCAACGTGCCCTGCGCAACAGCACACACCCCCGGAAATACGTGTTGGTGGGGCGCTGTGTGTGATGCGAAGATCTGGCACGGAAGTGGGTATCCTGCTCCTGTCTTTGGCAACTATACGATCTTAAAATCAAAATTATTATTATTATTATTTTTTTTTTAATACTCTCCTAACCTCTGAAACCGTTCTGCCCGATCTCTCTCAGCCTCTCCCTTTCAGGTGGTTTCTCCTTATCCCCGCTTCGGCATTTGGCACAGCTCTGCCTTTGCTACAGTCACATTCCTTCTTTCCCCCGCCTTGGGAGTCATGGGGTCACTCAGCAAGTGTCCCCTACCTGGGCATGGTATTGATCTTAAAGAATTTTCCCAGTATCATGTATTTTTCTGCAAGGTCCCTGTAGAACTTTCCTACAAAGTCCCTGGGACTTTGGTCTTATGCGTCCTCTCCTGCCTCGTTTAGAAGCACTCATAACTGACCCCCTAGTGGTTTAGAAACTGTCTGATGCTGGAAATCCAGGAAGGAAGTGCCTATGTTGGTCTGTAGGCGATTCACTGTAAACCGGAGCCGCGCTTCTCCTTTATAGCCTCGCATCAAGGGATAAGACGGGAAAAAAGGGTCGTGGGGGGGGGGGGGGGGGCGATCTTGATTTTAGAGGGTTCTGCGCAAAGAACAGATCACCTGTGCAGGCTTGCAGAGACCACACTGGAGTTCTTGGGACTATTTTCAGTGGTCGCAGAGTATTTTCAACGTTCTGTTCAACCCAGTTTATTTCTCACCCCTGACTCTAGGGAGAAGATTGCCTACTTCACCAGAGCGAAGATAAGCATCCCCTCCCTGCCGGCTGATGATGTATGATCACACCCCCTAAAGAAATTACTCTGTCACCTCTTCACTAACTAGGGAGGGTACAAGACTGAACATTTGTTTTGTTTTGTTGGGGGGGGGTGTTTTTTGTAACATAACTGTCCACTCTTTAAAGAGCTTTCATATCACATCAGATTTTCAACATGTTCATTTGTAAAGTACCTTGAATGTAATTCTTGTATGTTTAAAAAAGAAAAACAAAATCAGGTAACCAAAATGGAATGATCTGGTGCACAAATGTCGTCCAGTACATACGAATCGCCAGCAGCCCGTGTTTTGTACAAATGGAATAGAGGCGGCGCCCAGAGTATATCCTGTTGAACCAACTGTCAAGAAAGAACTCGGTTTAGCAGAAGGCGAGCTTGGCTTTTCATTCGATGTCTTACGGGCAGACCAGGAGGATGGCAACAGGCCCACGTGGTATCTTTGTACCCCTGGTTTGAAGGCGAATATGAGTCCAATGAGTCCAGCTCGAAACAGGTGTTGAGCTCACGCCATCACCGGTGTTGAAGCCCTTGTTTCCTGAAAACACTTTCATTCTTGTCCTTTTCTTGGAGTCTAAAGAAAACCAGATGCTGAGTGGGAATCTCAGAACCCAAAGGAGCAGTGCTCCGAACTACAGGGAAGACCTTGTGATTTGTCACATTAAGGGTGGGCAGGGAGAGGAGAGAGCCTGGTACCCTCAGCCCACTTGAGTCAGCTCGTCAGCGAGCACCCACGGCCCAGAACACGCCCGGACTCCGCGGCTGTGTTCCAGCCAGGGTTTCCAGCTCGCACTGCTGAGCTGCTGTCCCAGGTCTGAGGGTGGTGCCCATGACAAGACCATGGCGGCCGGCCCTCTGAGAACAGACAACACCCACCTTGTGGCGGGGACACGCACAAGCACTCCTTCAGGAAAACAGGAATCTTGATTAAATCAAAGTTGCCAAAAAAAAAATTTTAGAAAACTTTATTAAACCAATTTCTCACATTCACTAGAAATTATTTTGCAGCTCTCATTCTTAGGAGCTCCCATCTGTAATTTGTGGTAAGGAGGCCAAGAGAAGAGTGTGCCTGGGGAGATTATTAATCTGAAGTATGGGCCAAAGCATTTGTTTCAGAAAACAATTCTAGATGAACTAAGGTAGGCAGAGGAACGGACTCCATCCAGCCAGTGTCCTCCCCTCCCCAGCCCAAGGACGGGCTTAAAAGAAAGCGAGCGGCCCTATAGCTCTGTCAACATAAAGGCTTTTAGAATAAAGAGTATTTATGCAATTTAAATCCTACTTATCATCCAGCCAGTTACAGTAGAAGAGGCAATTTTTGGCCAGCCGTCTTCTGTAACAAACTAAATCTTTTTTTTTTTTTTTTCAAAAAATGCAAAAATCATCTTCAAGGAATGGACCCCTTAAAAAAATATATATTAAGTTCTATTTCTAACACAGAATCCCCGGCAGGAATTTTTAGTTTCTTGAAAGTAATTATACATATTTTGGAAAGTTCCTTTTATCAGAATCAAAATTCAAATTAAGCAATTTCTGAGCCTAGAACTTCAATTATTTTTTCCTCCGTTGTCCCACCACTTAAATCTAAATGTCTCTGAAGCTATAACCGGATGTGACACGACTTTGAACATAAACCAGCCTTGTGAAGTGGCTGCACACAGTCCTTCAAGGCCGTGAGGTTCATTCTATCAGATGACTAAGGGAAACTAGAAAGAGAATACCATTCATCCTTGTCAAGGTCAAATGTGAAAGACAGAGGTTTATTTAATGTAGAGCTAAATGAAGGTCAGCTGTTTGCAGCATCTTAGTTTGACCGTGAAAATGTTTATAGGATTTTGTGTAGTTATACCGTACAATTCTATTTTCTTCATTTATTTATTTACGGTCTTATTTATGTTCTGTTTAATATATAGTTCGGTTCTGGCCATTTTAAATGTTTGACATAGAAGAGGCTATATTGGAATATCTACACTTTTATAAGTCTTCATCAGATTCGCTGTTTACTTTTTGTAATTCAAAAAGTTTCAGACAAGTATAAAAGAAGAATAAAATCTGTCTCAGGCTGGTAGTCAACAGTTGTGACCAGGATTTGGGTTTCTTTTACAAAATTTGCTCATTTCTAACATGAGAAATGAACTTATTTTAATATAATCCTTTTCCACACTTTTAAAAAATCAGCAATAGTGTTGTGTATTTTAGGCAGCTTTTAACAATTCTGTCATATTTGTACTAACCCAAATGATTCACAGTGACAAAACATTTTAATAACTTGATCACAAAACCATATGAACAATATGAATTTTAATATTATAAATACTATTTTTTAAAGGTAGAATTTATTCTGCACAGGGTAAAAAGAATGTAATATTTAGTTCTCAAGTTTGAATTATCAATATGTTATTATAATTTTGTATATCAGAATCTAAGTTACAGGTACAAAAAAACACTGCTAGCCAAATGAACAAAATCTAGCTGTCTGTAGCATGCAAATCAAATCTAAAATCTTTTTTTTTGCTATTACTTTATCTATATTGTATTAAATATCAAAAGCTCAGGACTGAACTAAATATTTAATCAGGTTAAATTCTGAATATGTTTCTGTTTCTGTTAATCGTCTCTGTAAAAGTACGCAAATACATCACATAGATTAACTTCGGTTTCTGCACTTTTCCTGTGTTTGTGGGTGGAAAAAGGGTCAGTGGGTTTGTTTGTTTTTTTAAAGAAAGATGCATATTGCTTCATACTTAATTTCAGTGTCGTGTACTGTTCAGTCAGTTTCTCTGATTGTTGCAAACAAGAGTTTACCTGAGCCGTGTACCGAGCAAATACCAGATCCATCATGAGGAACTTCCCAAGCCAGCAGTTTGCTGGAAATGGTTCTGGATTGGGCGGTCGGTATTGCTGATAGAAAAAGAGGGCCTATTTGTATCATGCGAGTAAAAGAAGGAGTCCCCAAGGTGAGCCAGGAGCTTCCCCCCACCCTCCCCCCCCCCCCGACCTTGACCTTCCGTCCCCCCGCCTCCCCGGGGCTGCTCCACAGAACCCCCGGGCAGCCAGGGCCCTCAGCCATCTGCCACAGAGCACAGGGCACCGAAGCCAAAGCACACTTGGGGGCCCATATTTTACGTGAACCTCCCCAAACACCAGATTGCCACCCTCTGCTTCTGCGCTGGTGAGGAAGGCATGAAGGAATGTGGCCCGCTTTTGGAAAAGGCCCTGTAGAGGCCCTGAGGTCTCCAATTACAAAGGAGATGAAAAATCCCACGTCTCTCTCCTCTCAAGCTTTCAAAGAACCAGCAATTTTTTTAGTCTAATCTAATGTCCTTTCTCAATAAATACGCAACAAGACTTGAGTTGCAAGATAATAGGTGATCTTACACACCTGAAAGCAATAAATGATTAGCAGTTGCCAAAACGATTCATCTCTGTGAATAACGCCTTCAAAGATACGTAAGTGCTAACATAATGTTTTATTTACCAGCTCTGTGCAATCACCGAATCTATTTTACGACGGAGAAAACTCATCCACAGTAATGAGTATGATTACTATTAAGTCTTGAGTGGTTTTGATCTCCGAATAGAAGATAAAAGTGTTTTTACTGTCTTAGAAGGAAATTATAATTTACGAAGCGAATAGCCACAGGGAAATGCATTTTAGAAAATTAAAAGCCCCGTGAATGGGTGGCTGTGTAGCAGGAAATCCTACCAAATCCAGAGAGGAGGGATCTGCTCTTGAGGGATGGACCCCACTGATGTTTCCTGGCTTAGATTTTCCGATGGGCTTTGTTCATCTGCCGGTGCTCACAGTGATATCTCGTTTCCGCCACTGCATGGTGGCCCGGAGCTGGGGCAGCCTGGGAGAAGCAGGCTGCACAGTCCAACAGGCCCCCTCCCAGGAGGAGGGAAAAGCCAGCAAACCAGCCCAGAAAGAGGGCGTCCCCAAACTCCCACCTGGGCACGATCTCTGGCACAGTCTCATCCCAGAACTCCTGGACCGTCTCGTAGGCGACCCAGGACACCGGAGCCAGGGCCGCAACCCCGGCCGCCCAGAACAGAATCCCTCCCAGGATCAGCAGCCCCTTCTTGTGGCCCTGCCGTGTCTCTCCAATCCTCAGGCAGTCCAGGCCAAAGCTGGAGACCAGCAGGCCCAGCAGCCCCAGCCCGTTGGACAGGAACATGAGAATCCTGGCAATCCGGAGTTCGGCGGGCAAAGCCAGGAAGGAGTCAAAGTCCTTGCACTGTCTCCCCACCTCCTCTCGGATGACACAGGCCTGCCAGAGCCCCATGGTCCAGTTCTCCATTTCGTTTAGGTCCAGATTGAGGTTTTTCCACTGTGGCAGGTAGTTTGTAAGACAGGACAACACCCATCCCAGCAAAGAGAGTGAGATCCCAGCGAATTGTGCCACAGTCCGAAATACTAAAGCCATCCCTGAGCCCCACAGCCCGAGCCAAACCAGCTCCTGCCTTTCGACTGGCGTGCAGAGAAGTGTGACACCTTGTGCTATCTCCGCAGAGCTCGGAAATATTTCTTCATCATGTGTAGAGGATTCTTGCCAGAGTGGCTATTGTTTGATTCTGTGTTGACTGACTTTCAGGAAAGGACAGGGAAATAAGTCCACCAACCAGCAACAATGCCAGGGTGTGGCCAAGCGCCATGATCCTGTCCTAGGGGCTGACCCTGACCGTGGTCGTAGTTTGTCTCTGAGATCATCTTAAGCAGTGCTCATCCCCCTTTCATTGTTAACAGTACAGATGGCTCTCAGGTTGTTCCCAACCTTTCTAACAAGTCAAAGAATTAAGTCTAAATGCAAAATGGCCCAGTTTGGGTTCAGCTCCAAGCCTTTCTGTCTACCTTACTAATTGCACCTGTCTCCTTGCCATCCTTATTACTCGGATTTCTGTACGTACGTCGCGGTAATACTGAATGTGGTCCCTTTTTAAAAGCAGGTTCAAGAAAAAGATTTCTTACCCAAATACATCTGACCAGAAATCTCTTTAGACCTTCAATCAGGTCTGTTTTTTTTTAAGACCCTTGAGCTACCAATAGGACATAACACATGCTTGCTGTGCCCTAAAGACCAGGTCTAGTTCCCTCCCTGCCTTTCTGTCAAATCTGTGCCCGTGTGCATGGACGCTTTGTTTTCTTTGCTTAAGTTTGCTTTCTATATTGTAGAAAAGTAAAGGAACAGGACTTTGTAGGTCAGAACGAACACCTTTTGTCAGTTCACCACTAAAGTCAATATCCTCATGCTGATCGTTTTTAACGGAAGAAAGCAAAGCTTTTATTAGGGGAAGTGGGAACTGTCAGTATCTGGATATCTAGCACAAGACATTTCTGGAATTGCTCATCTTTTTTAGATTGGAAACCTTGGAAGGAAGAGACAAGAGAGGAGACTGGCCAGCATTTTGAGTGTGAGAGTATCATTAAGGACCGAAAACCGTCAGCCTCATCAAATTCTGTCACAACGGGCGCCTGCTAATGTCCTAAACACAAACCACCTCTGTTCAAAGAAGACCAAAGTCGTCGTCGTGGAAATCACACTTTGGGACAGGCTGAGCATGCGCTGTTGCTAATGCAGAATGTTTAAAGGATTTCAGATTGGGTTTTCCTTTAGGAAATAGATACTAATTCTTATGATTTCCAGCTACCAGCAAAAACAAAAACCAAAAAATTTTCTAATATAAAATTAACACATTAAAACTTAATACTGATTACAATGGACAACCACCACCATGTTTTGATTTAAATAACCAGCTCGATGAAATTATTTTTGCCCATACCTAGGTAATGCTTACCATGATAATTTTCTTTTAGTTACAAGACTTGCCTCTTTCTTACCTCTCCAGATTTTGGGGGGCAGGGGAGATCTAGAATAGAAGAGTGGTTATTTAATAACATGTGAGCAGCACGGATTTAGTTGAAGAACAAAGACCCCTTTCTAGTGTAGACCCCACATCACAGTTGCTGTGGAAAGATGTGTCTCTCCGGTCCCGTCAAAGCCTTACACCCTCGGGTCTGCCATTCCATTTTCCAGGTATGGACTCTGAGTTAGTGTTTCCGCCACTGCATAGTGGCCCGAAGCTGGGGCAGCCTGGGAGAAGCAGGCTGCACAGTCCAACAGGCCCCCTCCCAGGAGGAGGGAAAAGCCAGCAAACCAGCCCAGAAAGAGGGCGTCCCCAAACTCCCACCTGGGCACGATCTCTGGCACAGTCTCATCCCAGAACTCCTGGACCGTCTCGTAGGCGACCCAGGACACCGGAGCCAGGGCCGCAACCCCGGCCGCCCAGAACAGAATCCCTCCCAGGATCAGCAGCCCCTTCTTGTGGCCCTGCCGTGTCTCTCCAATCCTCAGGCAGTCCAGGCCAAAGCTGGAGACCAGCAGGCCCAGGAGCCCCAGCCCGTTGGACAGGAACATGAGAATCCTGGCGATCCGGAGTTCGGCGGGCAAAGCCAGGAAGGAGTCAAAGTCCTTGCACTGTCTCCCCACCTCCTCTCGGATGACACAGGCCTGCCAGAGCCCCATGGTCCAGTTCTCCATTTCGTTTAGGTCCAGATTGAGGTTTTTCCACTGTGGCAAGTAAGTGGTGATCACGGATAAAACCCATCCCAGCAAAGACAATAAAAGTCCAATGAGTTGCACTGCTGCTCTAAAGACGAAAGCCATTCCAACAGATCCTACAACTTGGGCCACCCCCTATAGGAGCCACCGTCTTCGGTAGTTGTCAGGAGTGTGATGCTCTCGGTCCTATGTTGCCTGGAATATAAGCTTTGGCCATTAACTCTTGGGAAACTCTGAAATGCGTTTTTGTTCTTCTCAAATATAATGTTTCATGTAAAGGACGAAGGACCCTGTTAAAACTATGAGTTAGGCTTTCTGATAAGGATTTGATCTGTTACCTTCCAATTTGCTTGGTAAAATTACATCCCCAATGCTTGATGATTATAAGTCTAAGGATGAACAAAGAGGGCTCTATGACCCCTCACCCTAAAGTACAACAGAAATCTTTGTGCTTCAATATGGATTAATTAGATTTTAAGTGGTGATAAAAGGCCAGCTCTTTCTGCAACAGGACCTCATTGTAGTAGCCGAATCTGAGATCTCAGGGATGCAGAACAAGGCCTTGTAAAGAAAGGTAGACTGTTTCCCTATAATCTTTATTCTTCTCGGACTTCCTTAACCTACACAAGAGCCTGGCCCCGGTTCTTGAGTGTCACAGGCACTCAGTGGGGACTTGGCAGGAAAGTTTCCTCGGATTCCTTCGAAAGGTGGAGGCTGGTTCACTGGGTTCATTCAAATGGAAAAAAAAAAACAAGACCGATGCCCAGAGGTGCTAAGTGAGGAGGGGAGAATCCTGGGAAGCTCTGGATTTCGTTCTAAGATTTTCTCCACCCTCATTGAGGAGCTGGGGTAAAGCATGATTTCTTAGTGTCTGAAAGGGGTTTTTTGGTTCACAGCTGAGCTGTCTTTGCTGTCATTGAATCCACACAGACAAAGTCACACCAGGTCGGAAGACTCCTGGCAGGTCCAAGAGAAAGGTTTGGGTGTGGAAACAAGAGCCCCAAGGGGGGCTGACCTTTGAGGCGCCATCTTGTTTGCTCTTTTGATTTAGGCCACACCGTGAGAGCATACTTCTGCGGCACGAGACCCCTCAGAGAATGCAGGGCCTGTCAGCTGGGATAAGAAGCCACACGCACCAGAGTCCCAGAGCAGTGCCAGGCCCCACAACCCAGACCCCACTCTGCTCAGGGTCCTGGGCCTCCTGTGCCCGCAGCTGGAAGGCAGGGTCTGAGAGGCTGGTGTAGGAAGGACATGCAGGAGCCAGGGCCCTGGAAGGTTCTAAGCCGCTGGAACAGAACCACTGCCCGTCACCACCAGCCTGAGTCTAGTCCAGGGTCAGAGAAGAGTTTTCACGAAGTCGCCTGACAGGAGATGGGAGAAAAACAGAGCCCTGATGACCCAGATATATCCAAAGTAAGCCTCAGAGTCATTAGGTGAATGGGTCTTTCTTCAGCATTTTCCAGCATTTTAGGTTAAAAAAGAAGAGGAGTCCTTAACTTTTACAAATTCTCAGAATCCCTTGGTTATTCTGCTGTCCTTGTTGTGCTAAAGTAAGAGGTGGTTCCGGTTTGCAAAAAGACCGAAGAGTCCAGAAAGGGCTGCTGATCTGTCCAGGCTTCCTCATCCCCGGGCACTGGGACAATGGTGAGCTCGAGCTTTCCTTCCGGGAGTCAGCCTGGATGCAGAAAGCTCTCGAGACCAATCCTTAACAGTCAGGGGAGATGATTCTCGATATCAAAACGAAGCTTGCTTGTTTTTTTAATGGAATGGAATAGGTTGCCGTGTGAGACAGTGATCTCTCCTTCCCAAACCTGTTTTCGGATAATACTTGGGGTGCCTGGGTAGCTCAGTTGGTGGGGTGTCTGTCTGCCTTTGGCTCAGGTCGTGATCTCGGGGTCCTGGAATCAAGCCCCGCATCGGGCCCCCTGCTCAGAGGGGAGTCTGCTTCTCCCTCTCCTTCAGCCCCTCTGCCTCACGCATGCTCTCTCTCTCTCTCTCTCTCTTTCAAATAAATCTTTTCTTTTTAAATTGTTAAAAATAAAATAAAATAAAATAAAAAAGGGTAATTCTCGGGGCACCTGGCTGGCTCAGTCTGAAGAGCATGCAATTCTCAATCTCAGTGCTGTGAGTTCGAGCCCCACCTTGGTCGCAGAGTAAAAAAATAAATAAATAAAGCTTTTTTTTTTTTTTTTTTTTTTTTTTTAAAGATTCATTTTCACCTGTCAGGGCTACTGTGGGGAGGTTTCTGCCACGGTGGGGGTCAGGCCTGGATAACCTGTAAGCGCTGCCTCAACTCATTTATTCTTTTTATTTTATTAACATATAATGTATTATTTGTTTCAGGGGTACAGGTCTGTGGATCATCAGTCTTACACACTTCACAACACTCACCATAGCACATACCCTCCCCAGTGTCCATCAGCCAGCCACCCTCTCCACACCCCCCTAACTCATTTATTCTTTCAGCCTTTAGCAAAACATGTAAAGCACCTCCCCCTGGCTGGACTGCTGTGGGCTAAACATACCACCAAGACCAGGATGTGTGCGGGCCCTGCCCCTGCCTCTGCCCCGACGGCTCACGTTCCAGTAGGAGGCCACCGGGAAACTAATAAGATAATTCAGAGAACTGCACAGAGCCGGGGTGTGAGGGTGTGAGTTCGGGGCAGAGGAGACCCCGGGGCAGCCTCCCCCGGACCAGAAAGTGCAAAGCCCTCCCACCCCCAGGGAACTCCCACCTCCATGGGCCAGCGCCCCCCAGGGCAGCAGGGGGCAGAGTGGGGGGAGTCGCTGCTGGCAGCCGCGTTGCTCCCAGGGTGCGGGTGAAATTCACAAAACAAATGTCACCTCCTCTATAATACACAAGTATT